CAGGAAAAGTGTTTTATTCCTCTGAGGTGTTAGATTCTGTTTCATTTCAGCTGAGCCTGAAGCCGGAGCTGCAGCCCGTGAGGAGGAGTCCTGCCTAATCAGAGGCTTTTCCCTCCCTGCCTCCTGCTGTTAAGATATCACAGTCTTTTCTCCATCCTTATCTTTGTACTTGGGACAACCTTAGACCAAGGAACTATAAAGGGTTGTGGTCACCGTGGGCCTCTCGCCTCTCCGGTGTGAGCAGTGGTGCTGAGCTGGACCTGGGGGTGCATTTCTGCCCCAAAGCCCCCTGCTCCTGCGCTGCAATGGTGAGTGAAGGTCCCTCTGGTCACAGGGCTGCTGTTCCCAGCAGTGCTGGGTGCTAAAATGCATCGGTTCATCTGCCCAGCTCTTGAGAGCTGCAGGCGGAGCATCCCGCACCAGCCACCTCTGCCTGGGACAAACCCATCCAGGTTATCCAGGGACTGTGGGCTGGAAGGAGATGGCCGGGTTTGAATGGGAATACGCTGGAGGGGTCTCCAGGCTCCTCTTTATGGGTATCAGAGAGGTGGCATTTGAGAGGGGGATGGACCCAGGTTTGTGGCATCCCCATGCTGGTGTGAGCAGTGCTGGGGTCGTGGCAGTGGGCAGTGAGTGCCGGGGCAGGGCAGGCAGCAGCTCTTCCCTGACTCCATTCACCTTTACCTGCCCTGGAGACTATAGCCCACTTCACCCAGCAAAGCATTCCCAGCGTGGATGTACTTTGCCCTGCAAGGCAAGGCTCCTTAGGGATGTAAACAGTTCTCCAAGTAATAAAAGCTCTTCAGGCAAATTTGGGCTGGTGCAATCCTCCCCTCCCTTTGCAGCAGCTTTCGGGGCAGCCCTGTATCCCTGGAGAGATGGGCTGGGATGCTCTGGGATGCCCTGGCAGTGTGCTCCGCTCCTGTGGAACAGGAGCACTCCTGAGCAAGTTATGGTGCTTCCCTGCTCTGTGGAGGGTGGCTGGGTGCTTGTAGGGATGCTGGTAACTCATGGTAGGGCTGAGGCTTGAGAGGGAAAAGCAAGAGGAAGTCGCCTGCAGCAAGCAGAGATCATCAGCTGTGTGTGGGTAACTGGCCTTGGGCTGGATACAGCAGGGATGGGACCACTGCAGGATGCCCTGGCCAGGGTGGACATCCCATGGTGTGCATGGGTGGTTTGTCTCCTGGTTCTCCAGCCCAGGTTTCAGCAGTAGGGGTGAAGCATCACTCATGGGGATCACACCCCACCTGCAGATCAGAGGGAGGGTCACCCCACGACACCAAGAGCAGCACTGAGATCTGGGGCTCTGTGCTGGGGAGCCCTGAGCCCTGTCCTCCCCAGGGAGGCTATGCTGCCATGGAGCCAGAGTGGGCTCTCAGAGCATCGTACACCCCACAGCCGGTGCATTGGGGTGAATCCCAGTGGGTCAACCTGCTGCATGAGCTGGGGGTCCCTGGTGCCCACTCTGTGAGCCCAGCATTCCTGGGATCTGCCTTTTCGGGGTGCCCAGCCGTGCTCTGCTTTGCTCCCCATCATGGGGCTGGGCAGCATCCCGGGGGGAGCCCGGGGCTGCTCCGCTCGCAGCAGGACTCACATCCACAGGAAAATTACGTAAGGGCTGCGGATGACTCGTACCAAGTCCTTGGTTTTCCCTGGGTTCTG